TGTGTTGGTGCTGTGGAGCATCCCACGGAGACCTGGCTTGGAGACTTGGCACAGATTCGCCCTCTGATGCACAGATCTGAGGAAGCTTTGCATATCCTGTTCTCAATGCAAAGGGGATGTTCTCAGGGAAGCACACATACCAGGAGAGACTCAGGCCAGGCGTGCTGGGAGACTGGCTTCTCAGTTCTTTCCCCTTCCTAAGGGAGACATGCGTGGCTCTGCCTGCCCGTGAGCACCATCAGGCCATGGAGAGCCCCCAGCCCCATTATTCCTCCCAGGTATGTCATCCTGACAACTCCAACGTCAACCTGTGTGCTTATAAAATCTGTGCTCGCAAGCCCACCACCTGGATCTGCAGTTTGCCATCTGTCGCCCACAGGTCACAGAGCACCAACAGGGCCCCTCAGGTGTGGGGAGCCCGTCCATCTGTGGACTTGGGAGGCCTGATGGGGGTTGGGCAGGGGCCTGAGCACACGGATCTTGTCCTCCACGAGTGGCACAACAGAAGGCTTCAAATGCCTTCTTTTTGCTCATCAGTATTTCCTCAGTCTTCCATAATAAACAAATAAGTTTTGCTTCTGTAAAAAGAAGTTTAGTTTTAATTTAAAAAATAAGGCCCCCAGATTATATGATCCTTTCTATCTCTAAAATCCTCTGATCTCGTTACAGTTCTCAAATGTTTACTCTGGTTTTTTTTTTCTTTCGTTGGCTTCACAAGAGAACAAGATTTTGTTTCCCAGTGTGCTCACTGCAGGGACACTGTGTTCCCCGAGGTCTGTGGGCAAACGGGGGTGTAGCCTGCAGCCAGCCCTGGGGCCTGGCGGGGGCGGGGTGACACTAGGTGAGGAACCTCTGTGTAGCCTGGGGCCAGGATGGGGTGGGAGGATGAGGCAGAGCGACTTGGCAGAGGAAGTAAAGTTCTTTCTCTTACTATATTCCTCCCTGAAAAGAAGAAAATACTTCAGCAATCCAAGAAATCATCAGCCAGGATCCTCAGAGAGGCCAGATTCATTTGAGTGAGAGAGCTAACTCAGGAGGCAGGAATCTTGAGTGTTTAATCCCCTTTGGCCTCCAGTGTGGTCCTCCCAGTTTTGGAAGGAGACCCTGTGTCTTAGCATGCAGAGGGGCGAGGGACTCCGCAGAGGATCTTGCTCTTGGGGGATGGGCTGGCATGGGTGTCCATGTCCCAGAGCCTGGAAGACACAGGACCCAACACAGTCCCAGGCTGTTTTCTTAAAAATTCCGTGTTCAAGATCACCCCACATTGTTGGTTTGAGGGAAGCAGGGTGGGAGGCAGGAGATGTGCGAATGGGCTGTGCACGTCTGTCCTCCAGGAGAGGGCCCCACGCTGCCTTTGCCGTGTGTCCCCTGTGTGGCCCTAGGCGCACAGCATGATTATGGGATAGTGCATATTTACATGAACAAATTACATCTGCTTAAGATTAGGAGTGGCTTCAATAATGCACCTGGCATTCTAGTGCTAGTTCGAAAAAACTTCTAAATTATACCACCTTACCTCCTAATGACTGCAGACAAAGTTGTAGCAAAATCAACAGATTTAGGAATATCTACATACATTCCTGGTGTTCCGAGTGGAACAACCCTCACTCATCATCCATAGCGAAGGAAAAGCCAGGTGGGCGGTTCCTCAGAGGCGCTCAGACCCAGGCTGTCAGCCAAGGAGCCCCAAGGAAGGGGTTTTTCTGGGTGCGTGCGTCTGCCCGGAAAGGGCAGTGAGCATCGGCTCCATTTGACTGCATCCCTCCTTTTCTGAAGAAAGTGGGGCCTCTGGAGTGGGGGTTGGGAGTGAGCTATGTTGGCACAAAGAGGCTGGGGGGAGGGGCTGCTAGTCACAGGGGCCATGGTTTGAAGGGCACCCCAACTCCTCCACTCACTGGCTGTTCAATGCCATGCAAGCCACTGTTTTCTTCTCACGTGTTTTCCTATCTGTAAAATGGGCTTCCTGAGTTTTCAGAGAGGCTTTTCCTAGCTGTATTTGCCCTAAAGTCCTTCCTCCTCAGTTGGGAAGTTTATTAACCACGGTTAGAGCAGACTTACGTGAAAGATCAAGAAAATAAATAAGACTATGTGGCTACAGCCCATTTGCTGTGCACAGAGTCCGGGGCAAATGGTGGCTCACCAGCCTTCGGCTCTCCCTGGGGTCTAGACAGGCACGGGAGTGGTCCAGAGACTTACCTTCCTGCACCCAGGTAACACCAAAGCAGGACTGTTGGGGTGTATGTGTTTCAGCTTGACGACGACAATGATGGGACCAGAGCTGCAGGAAGGTTTCCACAGAGATTTTATTTTAAACCGTGGAGGCAACTTTGCATTGAGAGTCTTTTACATTGGTAATGGCCACAGGCATGGTTCGGTTAGAGGGAACACAGTGAGAACGTGAGCAGAGTTTAAAAACATTCACAACATCCAGCAGCAATGGAACGTAGAACCGGACACAGGCATTTTAAAATTGTTAAGAAATTCTTGCTCAGTCCCACCTGCGCAGTCAGGAAGTCAATGTCAAAGTCTCCAGTGGCAGAGAGCATGGCGATGCCAGAAGGGTTCTGCAAGAACCGCATCTGAGAAATCTGTTCCGGCTTCAGGCTCATGACATCCTCAACCTGACCCCTTGGGGAATCTCATTTCAAAAAGAAAGAAAAAGATATCCATGAAGTAACATGCCTGCTGCAGCCAGGTTCTACAGGGGCCCCAGACGGACAGCGTGCAGTGTGGAAGAGTCCGTTGCCCTGGTTAGGGACAGCGGTAGGTAGGCAGGCACGAACAGGGGGCGAGCACCTTCCCTGTTGTCCAGTTAGTAACAGTTTCTGTACTTTTCATATAAAGATTTTCTTTTGCGAAATGACAGTACATGAAAATAAGTCATTTAAAAAGCAAGGCAAATGGCGTCCAACACAAATATAGGACGAGTACCGTGGTTACCAGTGACACAAGTGTTTGGTCTATACTTCATATGGATGGATGCTACGGACCTAAGGCTGCCATCTATTCAAATGGGAGGAAAAAAACGTGCATGTAAATGAAATAACGCTTTGCAAACCATTTTCCCTTTTTGAATTAGAGTTCACCCTCTTCTGATGCCCAGAGAACCAGGAGAAAAAAATATCAAGGTCAGATTCTCAATCTAACCTTTAAACCAACCTGCGGTTCCCTGCCACTTTCTCTCCCAAGAAAGTCAGCTACCGTTTTTGAGTCACAAAGGGGAACATTTTGAGGTATCTTATTGTTTAGTGAGATGGTACCATGATCAACTTCCACCTTCATCATCTTTTCCAGACCTCTCGATGGAAAAATGCAGAGAGCAATTTCCTTGATATGACAGAAGGCAAAGACCTCCCGATACTATACTCCCGCCTGTCGGAGTAAAGTCAGCCACTAGTCCAACAGTAAACATTCATGGAATCACAGGATCGCAGGACTGGAAGCGGTCTCAAGAACGAGCGTCCAATCCAGTCCCTCCTCCAGGCTTCAGCCCCCCGCCCCCGTCTCTGACAAGGGACTCTCTACTGTGTGTTCCAACATTCCCTGGTGTGCGAAACACAAAGGAGGAATCCCACTCCAATTTTGGACAGATCATATTCTTAGGGACTGCTTTTGTGTGTTAGGCCTAAATAGGCTTCTCAGTGGAAAGCATCATGTTTAAAGGCAAAATTACAAACTAAAACCCCCGAGGGTTGGTATGTATATAATTCTTGGTTGTGAAGTTGAGCTGAAGTTGAAAAATGAACACGGATATTCCTGAATTAAGTTACGGACATAGGACACTTGGCCAGTGGAAGAAAAAGGCAAATGGATGGAATGGCAAGAACCAGAAAGTGCCAAGCCTCGGGGGGGGGGGGGGGTGCTGGGTCGCCACCGCTGGGCAGAGCCAGGTGTCAGAGGGTGCGCTGCCTGAGCCCTGCTCACGGCCTCTGACCTGTGGGAATGTTCCCTTCCAGGTGGTGAGAGGCGCTACGGTGAGAACTCAGCATGTTTCCCACACTGTACTGAGAAGACCCATGACTTGCAAGAACGATTCGGGCCGGTGGGGAAATGGAGGCTTACACACCAACGGGCTTGGCTCTGCGTACGCCTGTGATGCCGCAGTTGTCTGGAACAGTCTCCTACCACCCGGCATGGTCTTTGCTTTGTCAAAGGGGAGAGGCTGAGCCTGGCCCACCTGTGTCATAAGGGAATTAGCTTGTATGTTCCCCCAGGCCAAGTCCACACATGTGGTGGCCACCAGCTCCACTTCACGGCCTCCGGGGCGGGGCTGTGCCTCCAGAAAGTTCAAAAATTAGCTGCCATGGGTCATTTTAAGATAACCATCCCAGGTCTTTCTAAAGGAAAAAGACAAAAAGCTTAGATACTGGCCTCAGTCAGCTGCAGGAAAACCTGACTCTCAAATGCTGCTTCACTCATGAAGGCCTCATGGTGCTCCGTGTGCTGCCTCCCTCTGAGGTCATGGGGAACCCCGCATAGCCCCCCCACTCAGGTCCCTCCCCCACCCCAGGACTGCAGCCAAGCACCTGATACTCTCTGGCAACTCCAAACTACTTGTGGCCTCCGCGCACCAGGCTGATGCCAGATCTTTGGCCTGTTTCTGTCTCAGCAGCCTGCACGTCATTTCCCTACTAGACTCACTCCAACTGCACCTTTAACCCTCCGCTCAGGCGTCCTTTCTGCTGGGGGGCGGGCACCCTGTGCACAACCCCTGGGGTGGGCCCCCGGCACACTTCTATCACAGAACAGACCCCATGGGACTGACATGACCCACCCACTCCCCCGAGTGGCCTCTACCCAGGCCAGGGAATGGGCCCCGGCCCCCCACGGCCTAGTTCAGAGCCTGGCTTGCAGCGGGCACTCCACAAATGGCTGAAGTGGGCTACACTCTCGAGGATCATCTAAGAGAACTCTGTGTTTAAAATGGACTTAATTTCTGTGTTTCCCAACCAACTTAATAGATATCCACTGTCGGTTAAAATTTACCATTATTTTAAAGGAGAGAAAAAGACTGTTTTGGCAAAGTGCTTTCTTTTACTTTAAAATACGTATCTTAGTGAATGAGATCACTTATATACGATTAAACTATGAAAAAGCAAAATCAAAGGAATCTCATTTAACGAATATTTATGTCCAGTAACTTTGGTACATAGTTTAGAGCTATCCCTTTACTTAAAAGTCAATGTCCAGGCTTTAAAAATGGATTAATGTTAGGCAAAAATAAATTATGCTTTTTAAAAATGAATCGCAAACCATGAAAAGGTGATGTTCCCTAAGAAAGGCAATGGCTGTAGACTCACACTCACTCAAGGCCGGCCTTCAGACAAACAGGGGAGATGAATTTTCAATGCCCTCAGATTTCCACCTGGATTTTGTTGCTGGGGAGGGGTCCTTGAGGAAGAGTGTAGGAAGGAGCTTATGCTGATCAAGACCTGCAAGAATTGCCTCACTGCATAGTACCCACCCCCTCAGAAACAGGGCTGGGGCCATCAGAAGTGTCAGATTCACCCACAAGAGGATCAGGTCTGGTTCCTGAGAGCTGCCTAGAGGTCATTCCTCCTAGTCATGCCATTAGTAGTTAATGTCCAAAAGCAAGTGTCCCTGGAAAATTCTTTAAAACTTTTAGATTCTCTTGTTGACACCTCAAGCTATATCCAACTGCCTGGGATGACCAAATGTTTTCTGCTTGGAACATTCTAGATCTCTGAAGATCCCTTCCAGTTTTGTGATTCTATGATTCCTTGAATAACTGAAACCATCAAATGAGAAATACATCATTGATTTACCTCATATAAAAAGACACGCAATTCCAAGTACTTAATTTAAAACCATCTTTGCTACTGTGGACACAAACCCAGACCATGAAAGGTTCCAGTAACATTTCTTTGGAGAAACCAAGAGCATGTGATTGGTTTTATCCTACCAAATGCAGAACAAGTCTGTGCATGAGATGTGCAGTCCTGCCACTTTCCCGACATGACCATGTTAGGCATTACTTGCCAGAACTGCTGAAGTAACAGAGCAAAAATATATGTAAAGTGCAATTCCAAGAGGGCTAAACAAGAACTATGACAGGAGAAAAGACAAGTGCTGGCGTCAGCTTTCACTCCTAATGAGCAAAGCTGCCACCCCATAAAATGCTGGGAAGACACCCGACACCAGCATCTCTCTCTTCATGAGTTACAAAAAAGGGTGGAGACACTCATCGTAAAACTCAAAAATTCACAGTATCACAAACACACACCATTGGTTTGCTAAATACTTCTTAACAAATTCAAGCACCCACACATATAAGGAGAAAGAAAAGGGCAGAGAGGGGGATACTATGATCTATCTGTGGTTTTTGATCGTGACTCTAATCACCAATGAGGTGGCAAGTGGTTTCAACCTCTGAGTGGCTCTGCGGGTTGGGGATCAGCCATGCCGGGAGGGCGACGGCTGCAGTGAAGTGCAGAGTCGCAGCCCAGAGTAACTGCGGTGGACACTCGTGACCCAGCAGGGACAATCAGCCTCCCCAGTGGGGTGCGAGCTCCTCCGGACCTAACTCAGAGCCACATCAGCCTCGCTGGGCACTGATCTACCGCTTCCCTGACAGCGTCCTCCCTCTCTGCATACGGGCCACGCTCCGAAATTCGGGAAGGGAAAACAGAGCGATTCGTTTCTATCGCTCGTTTCCAACACATGGTTTTCTCTTATGTACAACTTAGTACGTGGCTCCAAGTTCCAGTAGTAAACTATAAAATAGATATTTGAGTATTTTAAATTTCATTCCCTTTTTAAAGCTCTCTCACAATCATGCAGACAAGACTCAGCTTAATTCTAACAGCTTCGACTGATGGCAAGCAAGGGTAGTGGGGAAGGGGACAGTGAAGTGACAAGTGGTAACTGCTTCCGTGCATGCGTGCGTGCATGTGTGCGTACACGCGCGTCCAACCTTAGAGTGTGGTCACATGAGTTGGTCTGATGTCTCAGATGACGGCCGCCATGTGCCAGGGCTGCACGGGGCACACCCACTGCTCCTGCTTCCCACGGCTGTGGCAACAGAGCCATCCCTAGGAAGAAGCCCCAGCCCCGGGAGCACGCGGGTCAGAGGTCTTCAGAGAATGGGAGTATGGCAGCCGAGGATGGCGGATAGTACTCTTCCCGGTTGGCAAGAAAAGTAATTAATAGTCATGACGGGGAAAAAACAGCTCCCCCCACCAGGAAGAAGGAAGGAAGGGAAGGAAGGGAAGGAAGGGAAGGAAGGAAGGGAAGGAAGGAAGGAAGGAAGGAAGGGAAGGAAGGAAAAGAAAGAAAAAAATAGGGAGCATTTCAAACACCACCACCAAAAACCTGTCAAATCAGAAGGGAGCAAGGTAATGTGGATGGCTTGGATAGTGAAGGGCAAGTAACTGGCCCGTTTCTCTGCAAGGCTTCATTGAACCTGGTGATGCTCAAGAGACTCGGTGGTCCCCTGACGCCCCTGACAGGTGAGGGTGAATGAGGTGGGACGTGTAAAGGGCACACGCCGGCTGCCAACAGGTGAAAATCAGATTTCTAAAAAGGACTCAACACCCTGAGTTGAGCCGCTACACACAAGAATATTTCACTTTATCAAGTTTGATTGGATTCCCTTAAAATTAGACTTCTTCGGGTTCATTTTCTAAAGCCCTCTTTTTTCTTTTCTTTCTTGTTTTCTTGTTTTCTTTTAACATTCCCAACTGGAACACAGTATGAGCTGTAGGACTCAGTACCTTTTATGTCTCAGATCACACAGTTTTAGTATGAAGGTGTGCAAAGTGTTTTGCTAAAATACATGAAGATAAAAATCTTTAAATATCTAGTTTTTCAAGGGGAAGAAAATACAGATGGTGAGGAGTAGAGCAGGATACAATCTCTCGCAGGAAGGAGCACATTCAGATTCAGAGGTGATGTCACGTGGACAAACATCTTAAAGACACTTTTTTCTGAAGGACATGGAGTTTGGGTTTTGTTTTGTTGCATTTGTTTTGAATACTGTAAGTAAGGAAGGAAGAGCTATGTGAATCACACGAAAACATCAAAGGCTCAGAAGGCTCCAACTGAAGGGGAAATGATCCAGGCACTGAGAGTCGGAGCTCTGAGTTACAATCATCGCTTCTGTGACGACAGTGGTCGGGAGCAGCTTTCTCACAGCAAAGACAGAACACTGAGTGAGGCAGAAGCACAAGGTCGTATCTACTCGGCCGAACAGGAATGAGTTAGACATTCCAAACGGATTACTTTTCAGGTGATTCAAGAAGTCAGTCGGAAAACCCACACGAATGGTTTCCTGAACCTCTCAGTCGGAAGAGGAGGTCTGTGAAAGCAGAAACACTGAGAATAAAGAGTGTCAATATAAACACATACACCGGCGAACATGAAGCGGAGGGGAGGCGACACAGAGAGAGGTAAAGGGATGCCGACCACAGAATACATGCCCACGTGAAGGAAACATGGAAAGGACTTTATAACGACCAAAATACCCCCAACAGATGCCTTCCTCATCTCTCTAACGCACAGAGCAACAACGAAAAGGAAGTGAGAAACACATACAAATTAAACGCCCCACACAGAGTTTTCAGTATGCTCAAAACAATGTAGCACGGCCAGAGTGTATAAACCATTTGTTAAAAAAATATCTTCTTTTCTATTGTATGAACAAGTGGAAAGAGTCCCCTTGCCAGTGTCCACTCACTAGCTCCCACGCCAACTCAGCCCGGCTCGCGAGCTTCTCTCGGACTCTCACACGTCTGCTGACAGCCCCAGTAATAAAGTGGATTCCAACAACCGTTTCTTGAGTAAATGCTATCTGTCTGCGCCTGGGGTGTCCTCAAGACACGACTGGGGTCATATCCCATAACTGCGGAAAGGAACAGAAAATGCAGGATGAACTGAAATTCCATTGCGTTGAGGATCAACAGTCCTTGTCATTGAATACAAGTGAACTTCTTAATTTGCCAAGCAACGAAGTACTTCACTAACATGATTTCTACATCTATAAAATGGTATTTTGTCAAGCAACTAAGTACTACACTAACATGATTTCTACATCTATAAAATGGTGGAGAATTTTCATCCGGCTAGCGCAGAATCTGACAGATCAGGTTCCCTTCTGGGGCAAGGGAACGAACATCTATCAGGCCCCCAGTGGGCCCCCCGGGACGTGCTGTGTCCCTTCCAGATCTTTTCTCATCCAGTCTTCCAAACAGTCTTCCAAGATGTCCCATTTTTCAAAAAGAAAGGAACCGAGGCTCCCAGAGTTTACTTTAAACTTGCTCAAAGTCCCAGGGGCCTAGTGGCTTTGAAGGGGGTTATTTTATAACCACCGCATCCTGCTGCTGCCTCCAAGAAGGGACCAGAGTGGCCTGGGGTGGCAGTGCTCAGCGTGCGGGGCGAGCCCGTGGTGCAGCTGTGGCCCCTCCCGTCCAGGGCCTCTGCTGGGGCACCAGATAAATTCAGCATAGTCCTCAGAAAGGCCCTGGAGGAAGGCTTCTGGATTAATTGATCTCACGGGGAAAAGGTCTTGTTTATAACTTGCTGGCTTATTCGAGTCCTTCCTTTCTCTCAATGCTCAGCTCAAACCCCACTTCCTTCCTGAAGCCATCTCCAACAGCCCCATCTCCCTCTACTGAGCTCTCAAGGTTTCTTGCCTGTATCACTCTTTTGGCTGCTGAATACATGACCTATTATTAACCATCAAAAAGACAGAGTACGTTCCCAGCAGGTGACGTGTTCCCTGAAGCCAAGAGCCATGTCTTGGTGTGTGCAGGCAGGGCCCTGCACATGGTAGGTTCTCAAAAATGCTCACTGCTGAGAGTAACCTTGTGAGCAGACCTCACACAGTCTTGGGGCTCCTGTATATTGACATAGGACCAAAGATGGAAAGCTTCTAAAAGAAGATGGCACCCTACCTTAATAACCTTGTCCGTTCCAGAAGTCAGTAACCATCCTCGGGTTGCATCAAAATGCACATGGACAATGTTATGTTTGCTGTCGTGGAAGGTTGCCGTGGGTGCACGTCTGGAAGGAGCAAAGTAAGTTTCCAAGAGTGAAAAGTGGTGACACGTGAATGAAGGAGAGATCTAAGGTGTCATGAAGCTCTAATGTGCAGCCAAATGACTAAGACAAGTGCTTCACTTTAAAACTGCTCCTCATATCTACCTTTATTCCCTGGGAACCTGTTAATGATTTTTTAAAAAAGATTTATTTATTTGAGAGAGACAGAGAGAGCGTGCACAAACGAGGGGTAGAGGGTGAGGGAGAGAGAATCTTAAGCAGGCTCTACGCTGAGCTCGGACCCCGACTCGGGGCTCAATCCCCCAACCATGAGATCACAGCCTGAGCCAAAACCAAGAGTCCTGGACGCATAACCGACTGAGCCACCCTGGCAGCTTTTTAAAAGGTGAAAGGATTCTTATCTTCTCCAAAATGGGAAAGAGATGATGACATTTCCCAAAGTCTTATGGATTACCTGTTGCTCTGATAGAGCCTATGAAAATCTCATCTATGCCTCTGACAAATCTTAAAACACACACCTCAGTGCTTTTGCTAGGTCTGATCTCAGAAGGATCTGCTGGTATAATAGTCTACCTGTGCCTATTTAAAAAAAAAAAAAAAAAGTACACCTGTTACAAAGCCTAAGATACCATTCTAATTGAAGGGTTACCCATTCGTTCTCCTCGTTTTCCTGGTGTAACTGCAGGTTTCGTTTTCTATGGTATTCTAACACTTCAACAAGGAAAACGATCTATAAACAAACATTTTTATTTGTTTTGTATTTTTTAATCTATGCATTGTTTTAGCAAGAAGGCTTGTCAACTGCCTAGCTGATCTAGAGGCAATGCAGAAAAGGCAGAACAATGACATGTGGAGGGGGACAGGGACATGGGGAAGGAGACGGCTGGTCTGTCATCAGGCTTCAAGGGCGCCCACTCCTCAACAGTGGGCTCTCTGAAGACAGTTTTACCTGTAGCTAGGTCTGCGGAACAGTCTTTAGTATCCTAAGATAATCACTTAAAATATTTAGAATTCAAGATTTAGGTTTAATGTGCAGCTGCTTGGGCTCCTGGGTCTGTGTCTTTATCTATAAAATGAATAATTAATTTAGAATATCTCTAAAGTCTCTTGCAGCTCTTTAATGAAAAGAACTCTCTAATTTCATCACATATGATGAGTGGAAAATAATCAATGAACATAAATGCTTACTGATGTGAGGGCATCTTAATTTATATTTGATATGGATAAAGAAGAATGAAAAAAACACATACATTAGGGCTACCCGTAAGAGAATACTTTGGTGTATTAATTGCCACAACTTTCCTTTAAATGCTGACTTCTTCTGGTGCCATCTGAAATATGTTTCTATTTACATGCTGTTTCAAGACACCCATCTAGTACTTAAAATGATTCTACTGTATTCAAGGTGGGGGAGTAGGTGGGGGAGAATCGGGCAGACGAGTTTCCTAGGAAACCCTGCTGTCATTCATTAAAAGGGGAACCTGTTGCAGAGCATTCTGCTTCCCTCTGGGGCAGTCTGCAATGAGCCGCACTGAAGAGATAACACAGAAGAGCTCTTCCACACACACACACACACACACACCCCACCCCAAAAGCACACTGATGTGCAGTATCCTAAGGTCCTGGGTTATCGGGCAAGACCACCAAGCAAGACTGAGTCGCTGGACAACTAGTGGTACTGGCCTCTTAGGTAAAAAGTGGCTCAGCTCTTCCGGAGAAAATGCACAGCCTCTGGAGCCCGTGGGCTGATTCAGCTCCTGTAAAAATACCAGCTTGGGCTAGAAAATGAAGCCTGGGTTCCTGCACTCCAGAGTGACTCTTAAGGAAATAAAGGGATGGCAGGGCTGGCTGGAAGAACCCCTGTTGGCAGGGCACGGGCCCCTGGGGTGGGGAAGAGCACAGAAGACATGAGTTCTTGATGCGGACTCTCTTTTCCTATCTCACGAGAGAGCGCGGATGTCTTGGCAGAAAGGAGGGCTCTGCGCCCGGGCCACGGTCTGTACTCGAAACCAGCAGGAACGAGGGCACTGGTGCTCACGGCTGCGGTGCCGGGTCACCTTCTCCCCTTAGCCCTGCTGGAACTCACTCTTCATCGGTGATGGCCTCGTGGCAGCTGTCACAGACCCTCACTTCAAACTCGAAGCCCATCAGAGGGATGGAGGAGCGCTTGGAGCTGCACTTGCCGCAGACGGCCTTCCCACACTTGCGGCAGTGGTGCTGGAGGGGGAGAGAGCACAGGCTTGCTAGGGCTCCCGCAACTCGGCCCTGCCACGTCAGTGTGGGCGTGGCCAACAGCATCCGGGGGAGGATGCTAAACAAGAGCGCCCAGGAAACGGAAGGAACACACCAGCTGCGTTCTCTTTTTGGGCTCTTTGTTCAAATGGAGAATTGCTGGAAACACATCTGTTTGTGTCACCACACCCACCCCCTACCCCCACCTCCCGACCATAGCCCCCCCTCTGCCCATCCTAGGTCCTTCCCAGCTACGTTAGCATGAACTCTAGAGGACCACCCGGTGGATGAAGGACAGTGTGACTGCAATCCAGTTCAATCTACTGTCTACACTTTGGCCATGCTCAACTAGGTGACTAACACTGATTTCCTTGGGGAGGACCAAACCCAACCATGAATCAGACTGAAAATGCTGTATTATTACGAGTAGCTCTTTATAAATGACTAAAACTAAGATGGCAGGAGAGAAAGTGAAATTATTAACAAGAAATAAATACCTCTTACATAATTCCACGGTTTGGTCCCACTATGAGCTAAGCATGATCCCTCTAATTTTAAGGTGTATTTCTGTAGATGCCACTAGAATTCTAAAATCGTATCTCTTAACTACTTGGAACAAGTCACTATAGAAACTGAGTCCAGCAGGAATGAGCTGCAGTAGGTAAGGGAATAAATTAACGTGCATTCTCAGAGTGGCTCCAGGGTAGTGCCTGACAACCCCCCCCCCCCCCCCACAACCCCTGCCCCAGGGGTGCTGGTTCTAAGCTCACAGGTGAAGCTGTCTCCACTCTATTCCATTTTGATGAGGGATCCATATCACCCACCTGTCTTAGGCCAATCTTCTTACTGTCCCACATTTGCTTGAAGTTCCAGAAGAAAGGCTGATCACACTTTTGGCAGGAATCACTGTCCAACCACTCAGGGGTCTTGTGAAATAAAGCACACAACAGGTCACACTGCGACACAGTGAGGAGCCATTAACAGTGATGAAACTTACAGAATCAAGACGTGTTTATAGGAAACAGAGGTGTGATTTCTCAGCCATTTAAAAAACATCTACTGAATGCCTATGGTATCTCGAGCCCTGGGGATGTAGTGATGATAAAAAGAATCTCTCCCGTCATGGGGCTTATAATTTATGAGGGAAGACTAAACAAGACAATATTATTAATATCAATTATTTAAGTAAGAGGAAGTGTAAAGGCCTGAGGAGTAGAAGCGGCGCGCCAGGTGTGGGGGGGTTGGGGGCATTCAGGGGCGGCTGGGGCCAGGTCACTCGCACAGAGTTCTGACGGCCATGTTGACTTTATCTCATATTCTTGGATCACATGCAATTAGATTTGCTCTGGCTATGCATAGTTATGTGTAACTGCACATCCCACATGTGCCCAGCTACGTGCACTGGAGGGTACAACCTGACCGCAGTGGGTGCCCAGGAAAGCTGCCTGTCCACCCTCCGCTCATGGCAGGGCCCAGCAAGCCTGGACACTCTGTGCCTTGCCTCATGGAACACACACTATTCTGCCTTTATTCACTATTTCCCAACTTCATCATGAGTACTCGAAACGATGTCAAATGGGTTTAAAAGATATGTTAAGCTTAAAGCTATTCTTTAGCAAATCTTTACAGATTATGCATACAGTGATTCTACATCTGTTTCTAGAGTTCCATGTTCAACTCTGTACATTTATCATTTGGATGAGGGACAGATCTCTTTCCACATATCACTGAACCTAAGGAACCTGGAAAAATATATCCAACCCCAGGGTTTCTCAAAAGTGAGTTCCAGAGAACTCCAATTTGACTCACAGGACACTTAGTATAAAAGAAGCCTGAGATCAAACAAGTTTGAGAAATGTGGCAAACAATGGCCTGTCCCCTCTCTCTACAAGATTTTTTCTTGTAGCTTTTTTCTGTTCACGTAATCCTTTTCTGAAGAAGCCCTGTTACAGAACAGACTTGGGGATTTAGCCTATTCTCCTACCTATAAGCAGAAATGAACCTAAAGCTACACATTGTCTCAAAAAAGAAAAGTAAGAAGGTGACATTTGAGGAGTTCCACTTCTTGGTCTATTTATTTTATTAAAACCAAAGAGTTCTTAAGAAGTAAGCTTTGATTTGCTTTGTAATTTTCAAGCTCTAATCAGTTTAAAGACTGATTTAACAAAATGTATAATACAGAGTTTTCAGGAAAAACATTTTATCCCTAAAAGACTTATCTATGTTGTGATTTTTCAAAACACTTATGATGCAGGAAAATCAGGAGGATTTACAAAAAATTGTCACACACACACACTACTATATCCTTTATAAGGAAACATGCAGGGTTAGGACATATATCAAATACATTGTAGTGGGTATCTATGAAGAGGGAAATGGGAGTAAGGAACAGGAAAAGGGGAAAAAAAATCAGCATGGGTAGTATGATTCCATGTTTTGTCCAAAAAAAAAAAAAAAAAAAAAAACCCGAAAAACAAACCCTGCACATGTGTTTTTGCAGAGAAAACTGTAAGGAAGGATATTACCGGTGATATTCCTGGGGTGGTGGTATTATTACGAGCAACTGACATGTTTTCTATTTGTTAAGGGGCACTCTGTAACTTCTCTACAAAGAACATGTTTATCCATACTTCTAAAAAAGGATACAGTTTTTGCAAAAATGGATTTCATTAACAGTAGAAACACATGTTTAGCCTATGAGATGTGGGCTCAGCCACTCCGCCTTCCATCTGCCCCCCGAGCCACCCCCACAGCCAAGTTATCATCTGTCTCTGACTGCTTCCACTGCTCACGAGCACCAGCATGCAGGGCACGACTTCTCTCCTTCACCTTGTCTTTCCTCGTGGTGTTCCCTGTGCCCCTCAGAGCATATCTTTCAGCGCCTATGTCCTTCCACAAACTCTCTGCTGAGAACGTTAGCCGACAATGGTAACGCCCCTTCCTAAATGCCCAGCACTAATGGTCCATCCTACAGCAACTGTAATCACATCATTTATACCATGTAATAGTTTTCTGAAGTCTTCTCCCATATATTTTTTTCTTCCAGAAAGCCTACCAGTGCAGGGATTGCTTCCTTACATGTCTCCGGCCTCTTGAGGTAAGCACTGCACAGCACTGGCCACGACCCCCAGAAGCCCCACAAATACATCTCAGGGGATTTAGGTTTATAAAATACGACACTTGAAAAAAAAAAAATGGCTGGGACCCTCTCTACTCATTTGGGCTCTAAATCACCCAAAGATTCAGGATAGTCAACAAGTTGCAAGTGTCCCTATATCTGCATGTCAAAGGGCATAATTTAAGCAAGACGGCTCAAAGGACTGCCCATCAACCACCTGGGTTCATCTCTGGAAAGCGCATCATTATCTTCCTTTGGGCCTCTGTCCATCAAGGCTGGATTCTGCGTGCACCCAGGGAAGAGAGCCTGGCGGCTCCCCCTCTGCTGGTCTGGTCATTTAGGCCTGGGAAGAAGTGGGGACAGACGAGGTGTGACCGCCCCTCACCCAGAGCAGGCTATCGTGCAGGATCTGCAGTCTCATGGCTGGCCAGCACACACTGTACCAATTTCCCTGCCTTTATACTGAAGGGGCCAAGTGGTACTTTCAAAAGCAATATTCTACAATTCCCCACTTCCTAACAGTCATGATCATTTTAATTAGTTACTAATAGAACTCCCACGGATTTATGGTTTGAGCAAGTCAGGCTTTAATCTTCTTAAGCATTTAATTACTGCCATTTGAAAGGCATTACATGGTAGATAATAGCAACTACTCTCTTGAAATGAGATTGGGGTGAGGGCATGGAAAGAAGTTGGGAAATTGCTTTTGTCTTTTTAAAGTGTTGCTCTTCTAATTCTTGCATCCTGCAAGGAAATACATTAGATGAATATACACCGTCAAAGGGAAAGTTCACCCAGCATAATTCTAGGGAAATGAGAATAAGGCTAACTTCAAAGTTCTTGTCAAGGGGATATTTAGTAAACATGTCCATTGATAAGATGCTTAAAAGATGAAAAAAGAAAACTCATAAAAACGCAATCCCAGGAGAAAACTTAAATGTATTCTTAAAAATGACAGTGTATATATTTGCATCTGGAGAACTGTTTAGAGCATGATTATAAAGAAGCACAAATAAAAAATTAGTTATTTCTGATATTTCTATTAATATCAAGCTAAGGACTCTTACTTCACCAAACACCATTTCTCACACATTAGCCACCACTCCCTGGCTAACATAAAACACGCGAGCGAGTCTTCTGTGTTCCTAGGGCACTTCAAAGGATAATGGTCTGAAAACAGATGGTTCCCTCTTTTCTCACCTGAACTTTGGTTGTGAATGGAGCAACAGATTCAAAGTCTAAACAGCTTCGTCTTGGTCGAAATTTTTATGAAATCACTATTACGTGAATGTTACACGCCAATTTGGGAGGGGTAAAAAAAAAAAAAAGGAATTTTCTTTTCTACTAGAATCTTTTATTCTCTGACATAACAGGTCTTATTTCATGTTTAATCATAGGAGAAATAAGAAATGAGCAGGAGGGGAGGCTGAGGCGTTTTTCAGCCCAGCCAGAACTGCAGAGTCCAGCCCAGCAGCCACGGAGTGGCCCCGTGACCTGCCATGACACCTACCTCCTGCCTCTCCACGTCCATGTCCCAGACCACGATTCCACCGTCACCACCACAGGAGATGAGCTGCCGCGTGTGCTGCACATAGGAAAGGGCCTGGACTTTGTCACTGCAAAAGAAAGCCTGGGTTAGTGACAGGTCTGGAGAGCAAGGCGAAAGCTCTAAAGGCAGGACGCCCAGCAAAGTCAATCAATACGCATGCTCCCCCTTGAGCCCCGAGCACAGATCTTAGAAATCAGTCGGAATCAAAATGTTTACTTAAGATGCTGAGGCCTGGGCGCCTGGGTGGCTCAGTTGGTTAAGCGACTGCCTTCAGCTCAGGTCATGATCCTGGAGTCCTGGGATCGAGTCCCGCATCGGGCTCCCTGCTGAGCAGGGAGTCTGCTTCTCCCTCTGACCCTCTTCCCTCTCGTGCTCTCTCTCATTCTCTCTCTCTCAAATAAATAAATAAAATCTTTAAAAAAAAAAAAAAGATGCTGAGGCCTCAGGAAGAGAGGGTCTTTGTCAGTTACCGACACTTGAGGAGAAAAGCTGACTGTTGGAACTCCTCGTAAGATGGGACTGACTCCTTCCTTAATTGATTAATTAAATAAAACCTGTGGTACATGGTCATGCTGTATTTGTTCAAAAGTCATGATTTTACTTTTTTTTTTTTTTTTTAAAGGATCCCACTGGATTGACCTGCCAGAGCCAGGTAAATTGTGTTGGTTGAGATGTGGAGTGCATCATGGTAGCTTACGCCCAGGCACCATTTCTTGGCTTCCAGGGTGAAGCCAAAGCAGCAACAACAGACTTGAGTTTTGCTGACTCTCTATTTTCTCTAGTTTTCATTCCCTCTCTACTCACTTTGTGCTTTATTTTTCTTTCCAGTTCATACATGGCTGACGAAGTATTCCCTCTTGGGGGAGCCACCATGGAGCGTCCAGTTCTATGGTCTGACAACATGGTGATCACTAACATAAGGTTACAGACATTATTTTCCACTGGGTGAGGGAACAGGGAATAGGGCTTCTTGGTTGTTCCTGTTTGAATATTTTTCTATTTTGAGCTCAAATCAATTAAGAATTCTGTGCCCACTGGGGAGGAGAACAGTTCCTTGCAATCTGGACTGGTGTTTGTGTGCTTTCGTGTTTCCTTCTGACCTGTGGCTGAAGTTGTGGGACCGAAGCTGTTAAAGCTCTGTGTGTCTGCGACTACAGTTCAGTAAGGCCTTTCCCTCTCATGTCTGGAGCGCCAGCCTATTGCCAGAGGGCATCCACAACTTAGATTACAGTCTTCTTTCTAATTAAAAAAAAAAATTTTTTTTTTTTTAGATTATAAGAACTTGTTCTGTTTGGCTTTTAAAGATAAACAAGTGCTTATATAAACTGAATTTTCATAAACTTAACGGAAAAAAGAAAATTGAGCCCCTAAAGCTTAAAATTTACCAGACTTAAAAATCCTTTTACAGAAAATACTAACTCAGTAACATTTTAAGCATGTAAGTTCACAGAATTGAGGTGAACTCTGGCAAGTGAGACGAGTGTGATAAATTTTAAAAACACAGCTATGTCTTTCTCTGATTCATCAGTGTTAAGTATGAGCAAGTGTACATCTTATTTTACTTGGGTTGATTTCTTCTAAATATATACAGGATAACTAGTCAAATAACCTAATATTATGCCTATATAATGCTATATATGAAAAATATAAATTCGTGTTCAACTCAACTAAATAATTGTTTTGATAAACTTTTCATATAAATAGCAATTATGTTTTATAGCACATCAAGATAATCCCTAAGATCTTTAGGTAACTTAAAACGGATTACTATACATAGAGCTAACTGATAATCATTGGATACCCACTTAATTTCTAAATAGGTCAGAATACTGAAACTTTGATTACAAAGTATAATATTAAGTTTATATATGTTTGCTTCTCATTTTTTGTTATAGAGAGGCTATAACTTACGTGAGTCACATCCATGAACATGTTCATTTTTGCCACCTTAAGGAGACATAAGAGTGGTGTATACTGCAGTAGAAATTTCTGTTGTGTGTGTTCATGAGCTTTGCTAGTCTGCTAAAATGCTTGTATGTGACAGTTCTCAATTATCTACATCCTCCCTCCTCCCAATTTTCTCTATGAAATATAAGTTAGTTACTCTCTAGGTTAATTATTATAATTAAAATGGATGGTTGAGATTATGCCAGGGGCAATGATGGAAACAAGATACAACTATGTATGGGCTTTTGTTTTTAAAAGAGAAAACAGAGTAGTTGTGTCTTAAAGCAATGGTTCTCAAACTTTTTCGTCTCAGGATCCCTTTACACTCTTAAAACCATTTTGAGACGACACCAAAGAGCTTTGGTTTAAATAAGAAATTACAAATATTTACTGTATGTGAAATCAAAATTGAGAATTTAAAAAAAATATCGATTCATTTGAAAATAGCAACGATGAATCCATTCTATTTTAATATAAATAACACAGATTTGGTGAAAATTATATTTCCCAAGGTGACAAATTTTGACAAAAATGGCACTGTTTAACATTTCTGCAAGTCTTTCTAATGTCTGGCTTAATAGAAGAGAGCCAGATAGATACTCATCTCTTTCTGTATTTGTTCTAATAACCACTCATCATGCAGCTTCTGGAAAACTCCACTGTACATTTGAGAGAGACTATGGATGAGAAAGGCACTTCTTCTAAAGTAAAGTATAAATTTGTTCCAGAATATGAGAGAGAAAAATGAAGGACAAAACTTGGAAAGTGAATTTTATTTGCTTTGGTTTATAATACTCAAGTCTGAAAAAAGAGCTATAAAATGCATTAAAATCTTGGCACAGTTCCCTCAGTTTTGATGGCTTACTTCCTTGCCTTCCTGATTAATGCCTTTGACTACAATGCAAAAGGATATTCTTTACCTTCTATAAAATCTGCCTCTCTAGCAAAGATTCTGTGTGTCACCACATTATTTTCAGAGCTTTATGTTGACTTGGTTAAAGACCCAAAAACATCTTTGACAACTCTTAATGATTTTGCCTTCCTAGGCTGTACCCTATATTTTGAAAAAATAAAATAAAAACTTTAGGATACTTCCTACACCTACAACTATCTTTGAGATTCCCTAGAGGGATCCTTGAGAATTGTAAAGATGTACTCCTCTGCCTTATAAAAAGAGAGATGCTATAAATAACTATATGTGTTTGTTGTGTTGCTATTTTAAGAGTTTCATGGGACGAGGGTGCCTGGGTGGCTCAGTCGGTTAAGCGACTGCCTTCAGCTCCGGTCATGATCCTGGAGTCCCAGGATCGAGTCCCGCATCGGGCTCCCTGCTCGGCGGGGAGTCTGCTTCTCCCTCTGACCCTCCTCCTTCTCATGCTCTCTCTCTACCATTCTCTCTCTCTCTCAATAAATAAATAAAAATCTTTAAAAAAAAAAAAGAGTTTCATGGGACGAGTTATCAGATCAGAAGAGATGCTTGGCCTTCTCTAGGTCAAGTCAGTTTAGATAAAATTTTATTAATGTAAGTATTTCTGAAGTTGCATATTTTATGGGAGGGCCCTGGAGGTTTACTGGAGCTCTCATTGTCTATAATATGCTTTCCCCTCCAGGGAAATACTGATCAAAACTCTCAGGAGATAGTTATGTAGGCTATCTCAATAGAGAATTTTATTCTCCTGCATTATGATTACTATTTGTCACAGTAAAAAAAAACTAACCATTAAAGTCTTCATAATCTATAGACAATTTCTGTTTTACTCTGATGCTTGCCTGAGGGCTCTGCTATAAGCTACAGGCCAGAAAGGACAATCTCAGTTTCACGGAAAAGGACTATATGTACCAGGTATTTTAAAATATTGATATTTCAAAAGAAGAGACTTGGGCAAAGGCTACAGAGCTGACATTGCTTAGGTAATTTTTAAGCTGTGCTAGTGGACTGAGTCAGGATTTCCGTGGATTTCTGGACCCTTTTTAGTCTGGATACAGACAGCTTCATGAATGCAGACTGCTAAACCAAGAACTAGCAGAACAAGAACTAGTTGCACAAGACCGGATGAACTGAAGAGGGACATTTTACTGTGGTTATTTGTCTGGAATACTGCTGATGTTGTTTTAATGTTCTATTTTCTGGATACGGGAGGGTGCTTTTTCTCCTACTTGTTATCCTATCTCTAACCTAAAATCTTGTAAACTCCGCTTTTATAAGCTAAATAGAAACATTTAAAAATGATGTCCAGTTTTCAATGATTCCCCCAGAATTCAAAAAGTATTACTGAATCCCCTAATTTTAATGGCAAATAGTTATTTCATAGGTTCAGTTAGCATCTATCCACAGGATATGGTTGGGCAACCAACCTAGTCCTTACCTAGAATGTCATATTAGAGAATGATGTTCATTCAATCAGATATGACTAGCCGCTTGAACTTACGCAATGGCTACAAAGCCCTCCTAAGAAAACTGGCCCTAGTACCTGGTTTGCAGGGTCCTGGCCTTACAGGTGGTAAGGAAACCACCAGGCCAGAAACCTGGCAAATGTTGGAAACTTCAAGGAATCCAACCAAGGTGTAAGTACTACAGGTGACATATGGCTGAGAATATTGGGCTTGGTTTCCTAGTCTTGGTATAGCAAATAACAGAGGCTCTGAAAAGCCCAATCCAGGACTCCTTATAAACAGTTCCAGGCAGAAGTTAATTCTGTGGGCTCGATAGTTGTTTAATAATACTCTATGGCTCTATACTTGCAAAGCAAACCAAGAAGACTCATATGGGTAATTAACACTCTCACAGCATGATGTCAATAATTAGGCCAAACCTTAGGAGGCCAACCTTCTTCTGTGATCAAGAATAATCTCTGAGATTATCATGATTACAGGAGAGGGCAGGGGAAGAACTGTGAAAGAATGACATGGGCAAAAAGAAAGTACTGGCATCTTCAGTGGAGGATCAGGTGTTATCAGGCACACCTTTCTGGGTTATCTGATTCTATAGGGGCCTACATCTCGCAGCACCTTTAACTGTGCTACTTTATAACTCTGGAACTGTTAACCTTAGGTATTGTGGCAAATGAATCTTTCCAGTGAAGATGCAACAAATCTCCATGCCCCGCCCCTCCCATGGAG